GCACCGGGACCGGCGGCGGCGGCGGCGGCGGCAGCGGCGGCGGCGACTCACACCGCCGGCCAACGCGACCGTCGTCTTCGAAAGGGAAGGTGGCCGACGCGATGGCGGTGGCGGCGGGGAAACATGCGAGGGTAACCCCTACCACCACCACCACCACCTCAGAGCTGGCCGTAGAGGCGGCGGCGACGGCAGTGTTGCGGGCGAAGGAGGCGTCGTCGGCCCGCTTCGTCCCCTGCGCAACAACAGTGGCGGGCTCGGTGAGCGTGCCTCCGCCTGCAGCTCCGATGGACTTGTCGTGCACGGAGGACGTGGACATCGACGCCGCGATGAAGCACGGGGGGGAGGTGAGGACCCCGATATGCCGGTTCCTCATCCCGTGCTGGCCGGAAGGGGTGGAGGGCTACGAGGAGGCCGGGGGCTGGAGGCGGCTTGGGGGCTGCCACACCAAGGGCAACTTCCCGGTTGGGAGGAGGTCTATCTGAGCCGAGTTTGGTTGTGTTAGGAGGGGCGTCAAGAGCGGTGGGGGTGCATCCGAGGGTGTTCATGTCTGCGTTGTCCTAGTGCTGTCTTGGTGTATGACAGCTCGGGGGTAGAAAGTGCACCTGAGCGTGTGTTAGTAGCGGTGCTGAGTGTTTCACACCCTGCAATGGGTGGGAGAGGTTGTAGTTCGTCTGTCTGGGTGTGGGTGTGCGCACGCACGAGCGTCTTTTTTACGGCGGGAGGGGAGGAGGACATGACCGTCTCCTGCTGCCATACGGAAGTCTGTATTTCTACTTGGCGAGTGAGTTACAGATGTGCTCTGCTGTTAACTGGTGATGTCTAGGACATCATCTATCTCCTGCTGCCATACAGAAGTCTGTGGGTACAGACCGTGTTCTGCTGTTACTGGTGAAGTCTCATTACGCGGGTAAGCGGACCGCCCGAAAAAGGGGGCCAGGTGCGTGGCCCCGGCGGTTGGTAGATGGTGCTGAATTCCCGGCTAGAGGTTTTTGCTCGCTCGTCCATCCGCGGCGCTGCGCGCAGGACGGGGAAAAGGGGGGGGGG